CTCTTGATTTATGAGCAAGTGATTTTGCTGGTGCTAATGCACACTAAATCTGTGCTTGAAGATAAGTACTCAATTTCATGAAGAGCAAAAACCAACAGACAATTAACTGCAATTGCAGCATTGAAGATTCCTATGAAACAAAGTCAGGATATCATAAACACATTTCCTTGGGTTAGATCCCAGAGAACATCAAGCCAAAGCACTCCATGCAAACTACAGCAAAACACAAAAGAATGGAAAATCTACAAGCATTCAGAGACTATGTAGTCCTTCCATTGAGCTACCAATGAAAATGATCATGGTTGATTCTGGGCTTCAACTCTACTTTCCCAAATGCTCTCCATATTCCTTGCTTTCCTGAGAGACCAAAAAATCTGTCCATTCCAGTTTTAAATTTATCTAACAATTCAGCAGTAATTGATACCCTCTGGGGGAGAGAAATTCAAACATTCCCAAATCGTTGAGTGAAGAGATTTCTCCTTATTTTCATTCCAAATTATTGTCCACGGACCTTGGGGCTGTGCCCGTGTGTTCAATTTCCCCAGCCGGGGAAAAATCTCTTAGTGCCTGTCAAGCAAGTCTACCACATTTTAATGAGATCAACTTTTACTCCTCTAAATTGAGATAACATATGCCAGACCACCTCAAGCCACTGATCAGAGGGTAGACCTCTCATCTCAGGCAAGAATCGAGTGAGGCTTCACTGTCCTATATTAAATGCAAGTGTATTCTTAATTAAATACAGAGGGCAAAACTGTGTACAATTCTCCAGGTGTTGTCTGATGAAAACTCAATGCGATTGTCAGGAATGCCTGGGTTCAGCTGAATGCCAACATGGTAGAACTGGGAAGGAGTTTCCAGTGTTGCACAGAATGAGGATAGATGGCTGCAGGGCAGCAGACAAGTCATAGAGTCATAGAGTTGCACAGCACGGAAACAGACCCTTTGGTCCAACTTGTCGATGTCGACCAGATATCCTAAATTAATCTAGTCCCATTTGCCACATTTGGCTCAAGTCGCTCTAAACCCTTCATATTCATGTACCCATCCAGAAGCCTTTTATCTGATGTAACTGTACCAGCCTCCACTACTTCCTCTGACAGCTCACTCCATACCTCTGCATGACAAAGTTGCCCCTCATATCCATTTTATATATTTCCCCTCTCACCTTACACCGACCCAGTCAACTTTCGTCTCTTTCCTCAAATCTTCAAATGCTTTGACTTCATTCTTCCATTTCAGTCAGAAGATAGTGGATTTAAGTTCCACTCTAAGCCTTGAATGCATCCTCTTACTCACACAGTGATTGACAAGGCTTATAAAGATAAAATTTGCACAATCACAAAGGTTACAGACATCGTGGATGTGTTAAGAAACTTCTGACTTTTAAAAATAACACTTAGTTGCAATATTATGAATTAAATGTAGACAGCTGTAATGTCATCTGAAACGTAAACACTATTCTGCTCACATGGTAAGATTAGGCTAACCAAAGCTTTACCAAATATAAAATGTTACTACATGGAGAGAGACAGTTGACCTAAATCAGCTTTTCTAACTCTGTATTCGCAACACAATAAAATTGAAACCTTCCAACTGACCCCTATGATCCCTAACCAGACTGCTGAATAATCAATCTTGGCCTCTGAATAATCAATTCACAACACCAGGTTTGCAGCAATTTATTAACAATGTAGTAACTTGAATAGAATAAAACTAAACAACAAAGTAATCTAATTCATTACTAAAATTAAAAAAAAGAACTGCGCATGCTGGAGACCTGAAACAAAAACAGAAATTGCTGCAATACTAGAAAATCTGGCAGCATCCGTGAAGAGAATGCAAATTTAACATTTTGAACCCAGTGACACTTAGTCAACAGACTTGAAATATTAACTCTCTTTTCTCCCCAGAGATGCTGCCAGATCTGCTGAGTTTCACTCACAAGTTCTGTAATCACAACCTGTAAACCCATAAACCTTTGTTTTCAGCTCGTTCAAAAGAAAGACGAACAAACAGTGGATGGATAACTAACAGCCAATAATGAAACTGGCAAGATTACTTAAGTGGTTTTCACAAGGCGCTATTCCACAGTTAGAGATGGTGGTTTCCTGGTTGTTTTCTGAAGACGCCAATCAGGGACACCTTTAAAGTTCATTCAGATAAGGACAGTCATACTTATAACTGAGATTTCTATTCTTTGATCTTCCAAGAGCTAGTCATGGGAGGTTGGGCAGGGAGCTTTCAAATCTTCATTTGCTGTAGCATCAACAGCCGATTCCTTTTCCCATGGAAAACACAGACCAAACCCAATTCAAACTCTAAGCACACCCTGGCAGACTGACCATCTCCTCCATGAGGTCCAAGTTACCATTCAACATTGGCCATCTGTTTGAGCATAAGGTCTGTTTCAGAATTGCTGTAACTAATTCCCAGGTACTGACCTCGTTAATAGCTGACTTCTGCTATCTGTTTCAACATAATACTCTTCCCAGGCGATGAAGTGTCTGCAAAACCCTCCAATCAGGAATCAATCTGCAATTAACTTCAGGCTTGGCCTCATAAATAAACAAAAGTTTGCTTGGACTGTTTTCCTTTTAACACAAACTGTTACCCACAGTCCAAAAGTCTTCATTTACGCACAATTCTCCTTTTATATCTCCAAACCAAAACCAATGGAGTAAAATAAAAATAATGAAAAATCAGCAAGGGTTCCAATAATAAAGACTTACATCTCAATGAAGCACGTTCACATTTTGAGTTAGACATCCTATTTCTGCCAGTCTGGCCCGTGGAGCCTGGATCAATCAGAACTGGTGTCTATGGAGTTGGTTCAAGTGATTACAAGTACACATTGAGATTGCCAGTTATTACATGAATTTGGATTTGGCATTAAATAGAATATGACGCCCCTAAAACAACACAGCAACAATGACTAGAAAATAAATATTCCGTATCCTCAATCTGAGGACCTAATATGCTGGATTGAACACGTCACGGTCACGCAACTGAGGTTCCACAGAAAAATATCTGTGCTTTCCATGATGTCACAATCTCCCAAAACAATTTGCAGGCAATGAAGTTATTTTTGAAACAAAATCACTGTTGTAATATTGGAAGTATGGCAGCCAATTTAGATACAGCATGCTGCCACCATGATGAGATAAAGACCAGAAACTATCTTTTCAGTGAGAGATAGTAAGAATTGCAGATGCTGAAGTCAGAGATATCACAGTGTGGAGCTGGAGGAATACAGCTGACTAGGCAACATCAGAGGAGCAGGAAAGATGATGTTTTGGGTCGGGATCCTTCTTCACAAATAACCCAAAATGTCAACTTTCTTGCTCCTCTGATGCTGCCTGGCCTGCTGTGTTCCTCCAGCTCCATACTGTGTTATCACTATCTTTTCAGTGATCTTGTTTGAGGGATAGATTTTGGGTAGGACACCTCCTCTGCTCTTCTCTCTAAGTGGTTATCTTGTATGACCAGCTTTGGGGAGCAGGCATATTTTATGATTCACTTGTGGGACGGGGGATAACTGGCTGGGCCAGCATTTATTGGCAATTTGAACCAATCCCTTGAGGAGCTGGCGGTGAGCTGCCTTCTTGAAACACTGCATTCCATTTTCTGAAGGAAGACCAACAGTGCCATTAGGAAGGGAATTCCAGAACATGGACATGGTGACACTGAAGGAATGGTGATACATGTCCAAGTCAGGATGGTGAGTGACTTGGAGATCACTTGCAGGTGGAGGTGTTCCCACATATTTGATACCTTTGAGATGGAAGTGGTCATGGATTTGAAAGAAGTTCCCTCTGGAGCCTCAGTGAATTTCTGCAGCGAATCTTGTAGATGGTACACAAGGCTGCTACTGAGCGTTGGTATTGGAGGGAGTGAATGGTTATGGATGTGATGCCAGTCAAGCAGACTGCTTTGTCCTGAATGCTGTTCAGTTTCTTGAGTATTGTTGGAGTTGTGCACACCCAGGCAAGTGGGAGTATTCCATCACACTCCGAACCTGTTCCTTATAGATGGTGAACAGGTTTTGGGGAAATCAGGAGGTGAGTTACTCACTGCAGGATTCCAAGCCTCTGATCTGCTGTCACCACTGTATTTATATGGTGAGTCCAATTCAGTTTCTGGTCAATGGTACTCCCCAGGATGTTTATGAAGGGAGATTCAATTCTGGTACTGCCACTAAATTTCAAAGGACAACGATTACATTCTCTTTTGTTCCAGATGGTCAATGCACATGTGTAGGATATGTAGCATATTTTAGGTTCCAGTCTCTGTAGTGGAAATTGAATGCACAGCTTTCTGACTTTGTGGATACAGAAAGAAATGGTGTCGGAATTTTTAGTTTCCCCTGGAGACAACTGGGAGTCAGGCAAAGATAGATTTTTTTGTGTGTGATCGCAGTTCTCAGACAAAAGAAAATAAAGGCTTAACAAACGTGCTGACCTACTTGAGAAACTGACTTGATTTACATATCAAAAGCAAGTTTTATGACCTTATCACTAGTTTTTAAAAGTCTTCCTCTGCTTGCATTCAAGGTCAGTAATTTCTTTAGGGATTTAAACAATTTTGTACATGTAAATGTGAGAGTAGGTCTTCACTGATTAAGGAAACTGAATAATTCTAAGCTGTGCTACACAGTTATCTGAAGCCCTTTTTAAAATCTATTGATAGGCTGTTAATGTTTGGAATTATTTTTATTCAGTCAGCATTGAAAACATTCAAGGATGAGTTTGTCAAATTGTTGATTGATAACCATGTCCAGGGTAAGTGGCACCAGGCAAGCAAGTGGATGTGAGGCCACAAATCAGATCAGAAATGATCTTATGAATGGTGGAGGAAGTTTGATGGGCTGAATAGGCTACTCCTGCTCCTACTTCTATCGAACAACTGACAACTAGACGGAGAGAGAAAGCATGCTTCAAAAGTTTGTTTTGCCTGTGTATGACAAATTCATTGATAATTATCTTGATTTCTTATTGCAGGATAGTGGACCAAAGTTCAACACTTCCAAAGAACAGTCTCTCTGTCTCCCTGAGGTACATTTCAAGTTTGATATGAGCTTTATACAAGTCAAATTCTCCTTTGAGCAGCAAAGTGTGATGAGATTGTTTGGAACATGGAGTCGTCTCAAAGGGTTCAACATGAAATGATTAACCTTCAGCACAAGAGCCATTTTCAGCATTAAATCAAAGTGCATTCCGGACCCAGCTTCAAATGGAAGCAATGCAGAGCTCTTTTCAACTGCCAGGTTTGATAATGATTGCTGTGGCCAAGACCATTCAGCTACTACCGGTTGAAGTAAAACAGCAATAATGAGTATTTCTACAGCATCCTTCATGTAGCAAAATATTCCAGGATGGTTCACAGGAGCATGACCACTTAAATTTGGTAATGAATGCAAAAGTAGACCCCAAGGCAGGTGACCAAAAGCCTGGTTGAAGAGGCAGGATATAAGGAAGAACTTAAAGGAGGAGAAAGACAGAGAGAGGCCAAGGAAGGAAATTCATGAGTTTAGGGCCCAGGGAGCTAAAAGTACAATCATGGGTGGTGCGGTGATAGAAGTTGGGAAGGAAAAGATGTCAGAAATACTGGAGGGTTCTTTGGAGGGTTGTTCGATTGGAGGAAGTTACAGAGATTGGGAGGGGGTATGACGCGACAGAGGGATTTGAAAATAAGAATTAGAACTGAGCATGTGATGAACTGCCAAAAGAGTGAGATAAAAACAGAAAGGGAATGCAAACTGTACCTAAATGCAAGTTTTTATGAAGAGAAGCAAAGGTGTGACATTCTTTTCCTCTTTCAGACACAAGTTCCTGTGCTAAACAAGGAGAAGATTAAAGAGATGGATAAAATACCCAGCTTCTCAGATCCAAGGAATGGATATTCATTCAGTGCATGTATCCGTGCCAGGGAGGCTTGGGTAGCTATTTCCTTTTTTATTGTGACGACCTTGACATCCTAAGAGCCTCGGGGAGCCCTTGAAGAATGGCTGCATCCATCTTACTTCATTGCAAAATGATATCCCTGAAGAGATAATAAAATGACAACTAATTGAATTTTAAGGGAGAGGGGGCAAGGGCAGGTTGTGATTGCTTTGGTAGAAATGTCCCAGCAAAGTCTTGGTCCCCAAAGCATCGGCTTTTCACAGATGTAATGCTGTGACCGTGCTGGGACCTTGCTTCCTTCAACAAGAAAAAAGTGCAACTGCCTCTTCAAGCCTAGCTGTATGCCGGAATCCTCAGCACTGGGCTGCTTTTTATTGGACTCGAGTAACCAAATAGGTTTAAGCAAAGCCTTCTGAATTGGATCACCATACACTCCTCACCTAATGGTCAAGGCCGAAGGACAGGATTCTAATTTGGTGACATGCCTGCAATGATTAAATGGTTGTCTAAAACCACTACTCTGTTTTATTGTATGTACGTTTTATTGCCTACTCGCTGTTCTTGGAGTTGAGGAGAAGTTCTGATGTGTTAGAATTCCCACTCTTTTCTACACTCAAAGTCATTTATACCCAAGGGAGCATATGAGTTCTATTTACATGTAAAAAAATGTTTTCTCTTTCATTTCTAAACTTTTTAGAAGTGTGTTTCATGCAGTAATAGATGTCTACCCCAGCTTGCGTTGCTTCCGCGAGCTGCTTGTGGAATTATACCATTATTGAATAGTGTATTATTTCAATATCATAAACAGGAATATATCTCAACCAAGGAAACTATTTAAGACTTTATCTGTTATTTTCTTTCTTAATTCTCTTGTTAGTTGAAGTGGCGTTTAAAGAAACAATGAAATTTTAGTGGTGTGTTTGAGAGAGGAAGTGGTCAGCTGAAGAATAAAATCACCTTCAGACTGCTCTTTAGAAACTATTTTACAGTAGAAAGGAGCTGTGTGATCTCAGTAAATATATTGTCTAAGCCAAAGTCTGCATATTCACACTCGAACTGGGAAGCACCCTCGGGTAAGAGATCCTAATTTGAGTTCCTTGTGGACACGTCCATCATTTATCACTTGTTGATAGGAAGTACTCCCTGAATAAGGCTACCATCTTCTAACATGTAGGCAGTATAAAATGAAGTTGTGACAGAATCCAGAGGAGTTTCAGCCACTTGAGAGTGTATCACTAGCTAGTTCATCAGATCAAAGCTGATTTGTATCCCAACTCCATTTTTCAAACTTTACTCCATATTCCTCGTTACCTTGCAAAACAATAAACCCTCTTGAATGCTCCAAATTGACTACCAACATCCATAACCTTTTAGAGAAAGACACTCAAATTCCTTCTGCAACGCGTGTGAAACAATTGCAGATTCTACTGCCTAGTTTGAATGTCAGGTGTGGAATGGACTGGCTTGTGCACAACTACTGAGTATTAACCTAAATACTTAATGATACTGTAGGAAGGGAGTCACAAAGTGGTAATGAAGTGAGCAAGTGATCCAGAACATTGAGCCGTTGTTCTGGGGACATGGCTGAAACTTGAATTTAACAAAATCCAGAATCAAAAGCTGGTGACCACTGTAAATTGTTGTAAACACCTGGTTCACCAACGTTATGTAAAGAAGGAAATCTGTCATTCTTACCTGGTCTAGCCAACATGTGACTCCAAGCCCACAGCAACGTGGTTGACTCTTAAATGCTCCCTGAGCAATTAGGATGGGCAAGAAATGCTGGCCCAATCAGTAGTGCCCACATCCTGCAAATAAATTTTTAATAAAACACCCTTTCCAGCCTGCTCGGACACAACTTTAGCTCCAAAATTTAATCTGGTTCTGATCACATACGCTTTTTATCTACTTAGAAAGTTAGCACTGCACACTTGTCAGAGTTGGTCCCAGATATTCCATTTAAAGGATACAAGTTTCTTTGGGATGGTTTATTTTTCCCAAATTGATAACCTCTCGCCATAATAGGTCAGTCACTGCAAGACTCTACATCCACTGGTTTCATTCAGTGCAAATATTTCACCACAGAATACAGTTGTGAAGTCTGACACGAAAGACAGAAGCTCTAAAATCAGCAGTGGCAGTCCAGTATCTCACACATCTCAAAGAAATCGCTACATCCTATGATGCTGCTCACTGCCAACTGGAAGCTCCACTAAACTGTAACCTCTGAAGCATGACAGAAACTTAATATGTATTCACAGGAAATGTCCACCCCACCAGACTTTTAATTAATCAATGAGACTAATTTGACGTCTATTTGTAGTTTTCTGTTCCAAATTAAGCTACTTCCGAAAAGAAAACTGATGATGCCAGTTACTGTTGTTATACAGATCTCTGATGAAAGCAAATTAATAATAGCATACCACATGACTGTTATGAAGCTGTAATAGATTTATATTGGACAATTCAGGTTTGACAGCACCACGATCAATTTTACAACATTGGATCTGATTAGGGCCCCAAACTGAACGCTGTGACAGCAGTAAGGAGTCAAGTTTACTCTTCATCCGTCAATCAACAATTACATGGGAGTTGTTGAGTCCTTCAGCTTCTCACAAATGTTCATCAGAGAACAAGGTGAGGTGAAATGAGAATATGCATTCTTCACTTAAAGGTAAGACTCTTTCTGGAAAACGGCAACTGGGACTGCTGCTTTGTTCAGTCTACAGAAGTTATAGAATTCTACAGCGCAACATGTCGGTTGGTGGTTAATGATGGACAGAAGTTTGATATACCTGAAAGGTACCTGTACATCATATCACATCAAAAGCATGTTTAAAGGGAAAACCTCAGGATCTTACTTCAAGCCTGTCCTATGAAGTTTCTCAATGGCTGTACCTTAGTGTTTCATAATCAAGTGCAGCAAAGGAGACTGAGAGGAGACCTGATAGAGGTGCAGAAGATAATGACAGCATTAGATGAGGCAAACAAAGGAAATCTGTTCCCATTGGCAGATGGGAGCTGACAGACCAGCAATGGTCTTGTGGCGTTATTGCTCGACCACTAATAGAGATGCAGGAAATGACCTGGGGATTGAGGGTGAAATCCTGCCATAGCAGATGGTGCAATTTTTATTCAATTTAAAATCTCTGGAATAAGATTCTCGTAATGATCCTGAAACTATTGTAGATTGTTGGAAAAACCCATCTGGTTCACTCATGTTCTTTATGAAAGGAAACTGCTGTCCTTGTGGGTCTGGCGAACAGGTGACTCCATACACACACCAACATGATTGATTCTTTACTGCCCTCTGGACAATTAGGAGTGCGCAATAAATGTTGGCACGGCCTGTGATGACCACATCCCTTAAATGAATAAAAATGAAATCATACAGGGAACACAGATATAAGGTTTCAGGAAAGAGATGGAAAAAGGGTGAAAGGAAAAAAAAATTGTTTTATGCAGTTTGTGGCAGTCACATTTAATTAGCGGCTTAGGACAGTGGTGGAAATTGATTTCGCCAGTCAATCAAAAAGAACTTGGTTGGGCGCTGAGGAAAATCAACTTGCACAGCTATAGGGTTAAAGTGGTGACAGGGAACCAAGCGGATTATCCAGTATGAGCCAGGATGGTAACCAGTGAAGTAGAATATTTATCACTATTCAAATAACATCAAGGAATCAATGAAGAAATGAAAAGGACTATGGGACCAACACATCCACAGTTTCTTTTTAAGATTTTGGAGTAATGATACAGAACTGTTTTCTTCCCTCTCCACTCATAATATGTATCTGTCAGTTTTTCTTTGTATGCATATTTATTTTAAAAGTTATATAGTTCAAGTTACATAGATTAGAAATCCAGTTCCTTTACTGTTCCTGTTGAAGGTAAGAGAGAGTGTTAAAATAAACAGTTTTTTTTTTGACTGTTACTGAAGAAAGCTGACACAGTTTGCTTTTATCCAGGGTGGCAAGTGAGTCAAAGGCAAATAGTAATGTGTGATTGTTACATTAAATTTTCATAACTGTTGCGACTCCAAAAATAGTGGGACCTGATTTCCAGTCCATGACCCCAGTGGATCATGACATATTTAACAGTATGCTCAAACCTCGTATGAAAATTCCCAATGCACTATGAGAAAGAAAAGCAGAAGGGTTCTCCTACCAGTCATTATTGCAAGTGGCCAGGTGCCAAGAAACCTCACAGAACAGTTTGATAGAAGTTTCTGCACTTACAGCTCAATTCATAGGTACAGCAGGATCAGCTCTCGGGAAATTTCCATCCTAGCACACTCAATGTATGGTGAACAATTAGCCAAATTGCCCGTTCAACAGTATATAAACATCAAATGTCTCTGTCTGATGTCTTTCAGATGAAGCACTTATGCTTGATAAACAGACGAAATGTGATTTTTGGAAATAGTCTGAGGTGGTTTCTGGAGCAACTCCAATTTCATTGTGCAGGGCTGGATGAACACAGCAGGCCAAGCAGCATCATAGGAGCAGAGAGGCTGATGTTTCGGGCCTAGACCCTTCATCAGAAAAGCCTT